GTCCTGTGGGATAACTATTAATGTATTGTCTGCCAAGTGTGACTTCTGTAAACACTGGCATATCAGGTGGTTGTGACATTCATTGGTGTGAATATTGGTGTTTTCAGCAAATGCTGGCTTGCCTTTAGGAGTTAGCAGAAGATTGCTTCTGAATACTTTTGATTCCCACTTCCTTTTTCTAATTTGGGTGTAATCCCTGAAATGGTAGCTTTTCAGTTCACAGCTTTCCTTAACAGCAGCAACCAAACTTTGCTGTAAGCAAACAGAAATATAAACAGGCTTTTCATGCATGTTCCCCTTGAGAGATTCTCCTGGCAAACCATGTACTTAACTTGTCACACCTAGAGTAAGTTTACTACTTAGCGGGCAAAGTCCTTCTTTCAATAAAGGAAGCTCCTATTGTTTCCTGTTGAGAGAACAGGAAATCACAGCACTATTTGTCATGCTATATGTCTTTGCTAAGAGGGGTGAACTAGTCTCCCACAGTGTCTCAAAACCAGAGGTGTCTAGAAATTGCTGTTCAGGACTTATGAGTACAGGGTTCACTTGAATAGTTGCAATGCTGTCTTAACTGTTATCCCTCTGAATCTAATCCAAGAACCTGGTTTTGGTTTTTATGCTTATACAGTTTAACTGTATTTATAAGATATTTTAACTGTATAAGATAGATTCATACCATTTCTTTCAGCTGGTGAAGTAGTGTGCCCCTTTTTAATCTGGTAAGAGCAGCTTGTAGGGGAAAAAAAATGTGGTGTTTTTTTAAAATATGTAAACTGTAGATTCAGGGGGTGCATGAGTTAAATCTGGGTTTCTTTAACTATTGCATGTAGCTGTAACTTCCTATCAATGTACATACAGGTATTCCTTATGAAGCCACTGACTGATAAATGTTCAAGATCTTTCATGATCGTAAACATATTCAAGTGAACCTTAATTATTTCTAAAATCCAGCATTTTCTATAAAACACATAAGACAAAAGTTCTGTTGTATGGGTTTTCTTTTACTGCCAAGATGTATTGCATTAAAAAAAAAAAAACAACAAAAAACCCACTAACAAAAAAACAAACATAAAACCAAAAACTGAAGACGGTGGCAAATCTATTGCATTGTGAAGAATTCGTCAATTGTGAGGGCTGGTGGCTTAAAGTGTGGTTGTATACAGTGTATTGTGACTTATCGTCCATTTTTAGAGCAGACTTCACTAAAGATTGATCTGCCACATAGTTCAATTGCAAATGTATCCACTTTCAAAAAGTTAAGGATTCTTTCGTTTATGAAAAGTGAGTCCTAGTTATTTCGATTACTCCTAGGTAACGATACATACGTTCATTGTGTTCTCTGAGGTTGGAAAACTGTTCATGAGAAGGTAATGTCACTCACCTGGCTTTTACTTTTCACGGCTAAGTTGGAGCCGATTTCAGTTATCTTTCTTTAAGATATTTGCATCTTGAAGACACAAATACTATAACAGGATCATTAGGTTAGGTCAGTCTTGGTTTCTAGTATGAGCAGTCAGCTTTCTGATTGCATTTCAGTGAGTCAGTTTTAAGTACTGAACTTAAATTCACATCTCCAGGTATACTCTTGAGTAGGTATCTTTGTAGATCTGGGGTACCTGAAATCGTAGCTGATGGCCAGACTGTCACATATGGAATATAGGCAGTTGGGTGCAATTAGCAATTCACGTAACTAGTACAGTCTTGAAAACTGGACATTTGTTCTAACTGTGGTAGCAACCATACTTTGAACTAAAGGGTGCAGTTTGTAACAACTTCTTTGGCATCAGTCATGCAGTAAATACAGTAGCAAAATCAGAATACTGACTTTAAATAAGTTTTTATTGCTGTATTGACTGTCTCATTGGAACAGTAGTTTAATAGTGTATAATTTGTTCCATTAATACAAGGGAACATACCTGACCACCATACTGACTGAAGCACGTTACCTTGGGGAAAAAATGTTTTTTAGGCTTGGAGGATTTCTTTCTTCGATCCATTAACTGTCTTGCTGCCATCAAACTCACAGAATTTAAGATCTTATTGCACCAGCAACCAATATTTAAAACATCAATTTTATACAAGTTTGTACCACATGAGATTACAACATGCTGTGGAACTACATGTGTACAGTGAAAGCAAGGAGGATTATTTTTGAGCTTTATTTAGCCTAGGAATAGAGTTTAAAGAATTTGTGACTTCAGCCTTAAACTTAAATGGTAAATGGTCTGGATTTGAATACAAGGGTTTTTTCAAATGTCTTTTACTGCTTGTTAACAGGATTTACTTTTCTCATTATTATCTTTTGGTCTATTTTCATTTCATGTAGGGTTCTTGTTTGCTGTTCTTACGTTTCATAGCCCTTTATGTGGAAGTGTATACATGTCTTATTTCAAGTCTTATTTCAAAAGTACTTAAGTAATTTGAAATTACGTCTGACCTTTGTTTTGCTCCTTATACAGCATCATTTGCAGAAGTAATCAAATTGGTCATTTACCATGTCATGAATGCTACTTAGTTAAACATCGCAACAGATAGGCCCAAGTTGCAGCTTCTCTGCTTTAAGTGATCATTATGAAACTTTCCAAAAGGATACACTTCCAAGTGGTGGTAGATGTTTTCTAAACTAGTGATATGCTGTTTATGAATCTTAAGAAAGCTGTATTACTATTCTGGAGTATTGTACTGAAGTCTTGTTACTGTCAGTTTTTCCTTTTCTTTAGTACTGTCTTGGCAGCTTTTGAAATGTTTGAAGTAGTAATTAAACTTATATTTTGTGATTACTTTTTGCTTGGTTTATAGTAAGAGTCCTTTCTCCTATACAGGAGGCATTTTTGAAGTGGTTCGATTTTCTTAGAATGGCCATGATTTTGCAATCTGCCTGCTACCAAGGAGCTTTAAAAGCTTAAAAGATTATTAATTGAAATGTATTCTATCAATTAAAACAATTCCCTGTACCTAGTTAGCTTATCGATCATTTTTTTTTTTAATAAAAGCTGTAGAATAGGCTGTTCTGAAGTTTACAGTGTATGTTCTGCTGTTTATACCAGCTATGCAAGATGACATAAACAGTTGTTAAGGCAGCTTGCTATATACAAGCCGACTAGAAATGCTGTTAATGCACTGCCCCAGCATGGTAGATTAAAATGTCTTAAGTGCAGCAATGTTTATTCAGCCAAGAAGTCACATATTTATAGCACAAATGTAGTAACATTCTTGAGACAGCTGTACAAAATGGAAGTATTCTGTTCATGTGACTTGTTAATGTTCAGTAAAGGCTAAAGTAACAAGAACTTCAGTGGAGGCTTATGTTTCCACAAATGCCCTCTCTCCAAGCAAATGACTTACTGGCTTGCAGCCTTCTCTTAGTTTCAAATCTCTTGTCACTACAAAGAAATAAAAATCATAGCAAGTTATTAAGTTTATACTAGGGTAACTTGTCAAACTAACAAAATTGCCTGTTAAGAGGAGAAGGTGGTGAGGTATAGCTAAAGTACTGCCTCTATATAGTGTAAGAGAAGTTAAGAAAGCTGGTTCAAAAGCACCTATCTTGACTTACTGGCCAGAGTTTGAAATTTGAAACATTATCTGAGATTTGAAACATCATGAAGATGATTAGGGGATTGGAGTATGTGTCATACAGGAGGCTGAGAGCTGCAATTGTTCAGACTGGCGAAGAGAAAGCTCGGGAGGATTGATCTTTGTGTACAAATACCAGGTGGGGGAGAGGAGGTGGTGGAGTGTATAAAGAAGGTGGACGAAGACTCTTGGTGGTGCCCATTTACAGGACAACCTAGAATATAGGTTTTACTTAAACATAAAATGTCTTAAATTGCAAAAGTGGTCATACACTGGATCAGGCTGAAAACATCAGAGAAGTGGTGGAGTACCCATTCTTGGAGATACTCAAAACCTGACTGGATATGGCCCTGACACCCTGCTGTAGCAGACTCTGCTTTAAGCAGGGGGCTTGCACTACACCATCTTTTAAGATTCCTTGCAGTCTTAACTACTCTGTGATTCTATAATCTGCCACTCAATTTACTTATTGCAAGTGTGACCACCTCTAACCTTGAACTCATGTTAATACAAAAATCCCCAATGCCAATGTATTCATATTCTGGCTTCTGAAGTATCTTGAAAGTTTTCTTTGAAAGTTTCCTTCTTACAATATTAAGAGGTTGGAGTGCCCTCATAAACTAGAGAAAGATTGTAAGGCTTTAATTTGATGTGGAATTTGTGTTAAAAAGCTCCTTGGCATGAAGTACTATTTAAGAGTCGGAGTATTAAGTAGGCAAGTATGTTTATTTGTAGTCATAGATTGTGCTGAATTTGTCTGCTACCAAATTGTTGACACGAATATTACTGATGCAGTTATATAAATCACCAAAAGCTTCCAGTTTAGAAGCAGCTTTTGTTTCTTGTATTTCAAAGACACAAGCTAAACATATATTGATCAGTTGATGCTTGTGATCTTTAGTTTTTCTTGAATGCCACCAAAATAGCTACAAGTAGGATCAGGACTGTCATACCTTTCTCAAATTTCACATCTTAAAACCCCTTCATATATTTAAACTTATGAAACTATTCTCCTCTTACCTAGAACTACAGTTCTGAACTCTCCAGCCCTTATTCTTTCCATTAATGCAGCCATGGAGGCAGAGGGGAGAAAGATGTTGAGGTAATGATGGAGTAGGAAATAGCCCATGCTTCCGTAAAGGCAAGTATCAAACTGCGTGTTTAATTTCTGATGTCGGACTGCAGGAAGATTCTAGCTGCATTCATCCAGCTCTTCTGCTTTCCCAGAAGCAGAGTACAAGTTAATATATTCTTCTATACCTTCAGCTATTACAGTAGGACATAATGTGAGACAGTGGTTGTATTTCCTATCACTAGAAATGTAAGCTGAATTAAGAATTTATACAATATATCTAAGCCAGGAAACTGCTACTGTAAAAACACCACTAAAGTTCAGATCAAATCCATACCACATTAGCAAAACATGAAAATTGCATCCTTTTATTTGGACAGCATTCAGCTGAACAAACATACTAAATACAAAAACCCGAGCAGTTGTTTATGACATCTTTAAGTTCTTTACCAGCTGGTGGGGGTCAACATTCTTGAATGGTTGAAGATTCCAGAGATCTTGCAAACTTGTTGAAACTCCACTGATTTTGCAGGAGCCCATGTCCAGTGTTTAGTATCAAACACAACTTAAACAAGCAGAACTGCATTAATGCAGCCATCGTTTTCTGGATTGTTTGTTACCTGTGCATATTTCCCTGGAGAGAAAAGGGAATTAAATGTCCATGTTTGCAAGTGCAGTCCATGTGTCTCTTTTAAGGGAATTCCTGTTACAAACCTGAAATGCATTTTGAAAGCTAAATCTTATCTTTGCTGAGCTGCAAACTTAGGTTCCCAAAATATTTTATTTAGGCTGTTTTTTATGAATGGATCATTTAGAGTTCTGGGTAGATGGGGCGGGGACGGTAAACCAACACAGGTTCTGCTACTGTCCAAGTCAACCTCTCTGCTGACCCTTCACAGCCTGGTCCTATGAAGATGCTTCTACCTGGAACTTCCATTGAAAACATTATAATTGTTCATAGTTACAAGGTTACATCTTTATACACTTGCAGCATTGCTTAGTGTGAGACACAGGCAAACAAGCAGAATATTTATTCTGAACTTCCCTTAATTTGAAAGTGTGAATGGAAAGCCTAAGATTAACACTTAAAGCTTGCATTTTTAGAGCTGCATAGGCTTGGGCCGTAGCTGAAACAACTGCTAACACCTAGCAAAGATCGTATGACTATAGGCTGTGGGCTCAATGATACACCAGGCAACAAAGACCTAAAAACATACAAAAGTACTTACCCCATATAACTTTGCCCCCTTGTGTCACGAGGCCCAGCTCACTCACGTTCACCTCAATGATGGTACCCTTGGTAATTACACCAAGTGTGGTATACAAAGGAGAAGAAGGATTCTTTTTTACACCAAGGATAGGTAGGCAAAAAGTAGCTTTAAGTTCAGGATGCGTCACGTGTGCCTTCTTGAAACGTAAGCCCTGTTGCGTAAGGAATGTTAGAATGAGTTAGTATTTGTTTTAAGGCCTCATGACTAATCTTAGTTTAATTTCAGCATTATATTCTCAGTTTCCTATGTTTTGAGATACTGGTAAGAATGAAATGAGTTAGTACATAGAATGCTGTCTGCTTACTATGTAAGACCAGATTTACTCAAAAACCGGATCAATAACAAGATAAAGTTATCCACATATGTTTTCAGAACGACCATTTTCAGTCGTAGTATAAGAATAATGCTTGCTATCTCAGATGGTTTCTGTTCCATTAAGAAATGGGGTAGTTATGGTAATGCATTTAAGAGTGCTACAGGGTTTTAAGACTAAAAATTTTTTCCTTCTTATAAAGCTGAAAAATCTTTTTCACATGCTGTAAAATATGAAATGCCCATCTCTTATAACACTATCTAGTGACCTGTGCTTTGTAAAGGGTACTTCACCATTAAATATCAGAAAATCTTTCATGACATTAAAAATCTAGTCTTCCATGTAAGACCATAAAAATAGTAATGAGGTATGATCCAACAGGCAGCCTGCATAGTGATTCTGTTGATTCCTGTGAGAAAACAGGAACAGGTACTTTAGAAGACCTTTAGAAGACAGTGTCTTGGTGAATCAGTTTTTTTTCTCCTGTACACCACCAGGCTGCTAGAGCCCCGGCACTGTTCTGCAGGTGTGTAAGAAAAGGTCAGGCTGGAGACACAGCATTTCCCTTGTGTACAGTCACGACTGTGCTTCAAGCTTACTTAACAAGCCAAACTGAAGGAATTCTGGAAGAGAGATGGCTTTTACAGCTGACAGAACCATAGCAGCTTGAAAAAGAAGCCTCCAACTTTAAAAGCTATTCAGTGTGTCTTTGCTAACAGCCTTCTGTGCTAATTTGAGAGCTTGCAGCTTTGACTTACTGGCATCACCTGAGTTAGGGGAGTATGAGTAGAGGTATTTCAGCATAGGCTGTGGCTGCAGGGGCATCTCCCTACCCTCAGGTTATCAGAAGTTTAGATTTCTGCAAGGGAACTAATAGAAGTGTTCTACATCAACAGTAATCAAGTGCATTATCATAGAAGAAAGCTTCCTCCCACAGGAACTCAAAGCAGTAAGTCAAAGAATTAAACATGTTTTAAGGCTCAAGGACATTACCATTGGTCGAATGAATCGCTCATATTTAGGAGGCTTCCTGGTAAAGCCATCTCCAACAAAGCAAACTTTTGTGACCATTCTCTTCCAGGCCTTCTTCTTTCTCTTTCCTGTACGAATCACTTTTAAAACTTCAGTTTCTCCTTGTGCACGGACCTTTGGGACAGGAACTTCCCATTTCCCCTAGAACAGTCAACAGTCTTAGGTTGCTAAATGAAGGAATAACCAAAGAATTAAAAAAAACAACCCTAAAGCGTAGTGGTAGACCAGACTTTTTATACAACTCATAGCCAATTTATTTTAATCAGCATTTAAAGTTATTAATGTTGTGATACTGCATACGCTTACTTTTCAGTTGCTCAATATTTCAGGTTTTACTTAGACATTTCTTATAGGCTGTAAGTCACCTGAGTATCAGCCACGCAAAGTGGTCACTGTCACAAGTAATTCTAAGTATCTGAATTTTAATACAATTACTTACGGCTTTTTCTTTTCTTTTCTGTTTGATCATGTTAGATAGAACCTTAGCCCGGGATTGGCCCTCTCTGTCCAGCAGGTATGCTGGTACAGCTCCTTTAGGTGTTTTTTCATCGTTCTTTTTCTTTGCATTTCTCTTTTCGTGCATTTTAATGCTGCAATGAAAGAAAAACAGTATCAAAATAGGGAAAAAAAACCACACTTATTTTTAGATATAAATTTAGCTTGTGCCAGCTGAAAATTTCAAGAGACATTTGTAAAGAAGTGCGTATGTATACTTAAGGAATAATCCTAAATTCTTTTCATGGTAAAAGAGTAATTTCATGTAATGTAACAACTGACAGGCTCCACAGTGCATAAAAGCCTGTCTATTCCTGTTAAGACTGAAACACAAGATACACATTTTATGAAGGAATTTCTGAATCACTTAAAGCAAGCAGCCAAGTACTTTGAGAGATTGCAGCCTTCCTCTCCAAGAAAAAATAACAAATTGCTCCTCAGATTGGATAGCAGTGCTTGCAAATCTGAGGCATATATGTGCATAGGAGTTGTGTTTTTTCATTTTGAGGCCATATGGGGAGGGGGGAGAAGATGTACAAACTAGTTAACAAATCCAACACCTTTACAAATAGCAGAGGAAAATTACTGTCTACACTTGGAAAACTAGCAAAGCAACATGGTGGATAGTTACTGAGTTCATTAGAAATAATTAATATTGCTAACAGCTTAAATTTCAGTTTCTAATAACAGTTAATAATTTTTCAGGAAAATGCATCTGTTTATCTATGCCTGATACTGTAGTTTATCCTGTAAAACCAGCCTCATGTTCTGATCAAATACTGTCCATGTTACTGTATGTTTTGTATTAACACTGCTAAAAAACGGCCTGCTGCCTATTGCTGTAGTAATGTACAGCACTTGATATAAACCCAAGTAAATGCATTCATATTTTTGTCTTAACTACATTAGTCAGTGCTATTGCTATTTAACACCTATCTTAAAGAATGCTTTTACGAGCAGAACTGTTAACATCCACTGACAAGAGTGGAAACCTGAAATGTCTTCAATGTGGCAAAACCCACTCTCTTCTACAACCTGAGCACCATTTAAAAATACACCAAGTAACAGGTACTGGTTCTTAGTTACGATATTACTGTCCCGCCTCATCCTTCAAATGCTAGGATGCCCGTACGGCGCCACAGAGGCTGGTACTCACGTTTTCTTCATCTGTATCTTCTCGGCATGCCGCTGCTTGTGGTAGAGCTTGGCCTTCAGCCCAATCATCTTCTTGGCCTTCCGGGACCGCTCGTGAGCCTCGCGGCCCTCCTTCTTCCTCCTCTTCTCGTGGTAGTCCAGGCGGTACCCATACCGCTTGCGGTGCAGCTCGATGTACTCGTTCTGCGGCTGTGGGCACAAGGCAGCGCGGTGAGCGAAGACCGGGCGGCCGAGCTGATCCCGCACCCTCGCCGAGACCCGGCGCCGCTGCGACACGCGGAGGAGCCCGAGGAGGCCGCGGCCTGGCGGCGGCACCCTCAGCGCAGGGCGGCGGAGCCAGCTCGGCCACCTTCACCCCTGGCCCGTCGCGCCCGGTGGCCGCCGTCCCTCCCCACCCAGCCGCCCCAGCTCCCACCATGGCTCTGCCCCTCCCGCCACGCCGAGCTCTCCGTCCGGCAGCTTCCTCCGCAGCGGAAAGGCCGGGCCGGAGGGGAAGCGGCCCCGGCTGGAAACGCTCCTCAGCGGAGCTTTGGTTCCTCCTGGCGGAGAAGCGGCTTGCGGCCCCCGAGGGCTAAGAGCCCGAGTTGTCAGGGCCAGAGGAGAGGGAAAGGGAGCGGCGGAGGCCGGAGCAGCGCTGTCTGCAGATTGGGCCTGTCGGGTCAGGGCAGGAGGACGGAACCGTAGGAGGGCGGTTGGGTGGCGGGGAAAGGAAAGAGGAGCGCGCCTTCCGGCGGTATGGAGGCTGTTCCGGCCGGGAGTGGGCGCGCGCAGCAAGCCCAGCCCTGGCCGTGTTAAAGGCGCTTCGGCCGGAGGCAGGGCCCTGCGGACTGACGCGGCCGGGAGCGACTTGTCGGTGTGCGGAGCGCAGCGGGACAGCGGCCGCCCGGCTCGGCGGCGGGCGAGGGGCAGCCTGAGGGCACGGCTGCCGTCCGGCCCCGCGGGTCAGCGCCCTGCGGCTGCGGCTCTGGAGATCGAGTGTGTTGTGGCTCGTAAGGTAAGGTGGGGGTGCAACTGGACATGATACTAGGATAGACTCCACAACTCGTTAAAGTCGTAAAGTAGGCATGCTTTTATTCAGCTCTGAGGCGCATGGGGAATAGCTCCTCCAAAGGCATGAGCACCTCAGCATCGTTTCCCCTTTGCGTTTATCCTCTGAAGTTATACATAGGCATGAGGTTGCACAACACGCCTATACCTATTCGTGTCTTATCCCCGCTTTGTATTATAATGAGCTGAGAAGTCCTTTGCGCCTGCGCAGTGCCTCCTAATAATCGTGGGTGATGGTCTCAAGATGAAGTAAATGAGTCTTTCTCGACCCTGAACTTCTCATCTCCAGTCGTTACGTATGCTCCCCGGAGGCTTGGTCATTGTCCAAAGCGCAGAGCCAATTTCAGCAGGCCTGGGCGTCCAAAGGATGGGAACCAAGTCACGGTCCCTGCCTCTTAACAATAGCCATGTCCTTACGACTTGTTCTAGCATACACGGCGAGTACAGTAAGCGTGAACGAGCAGTAACATTGTCAGACAAGTGGCTTAATCCTAACCCCCCTGTATATTGGTTAACCCTTTGCATCGGATATTGGTCTTTTCCAAAATAAGCAGCAGCCAGCTAGGAATGCGGCTGAAGCTGCTGGTTTTGGGCTCTGTATCACAGTGGCTTGGGCAATGTTTAAAAACTTACGGTGGTTAATATTTGGCTTCTTTTTTTTTTTTTTATGTCCCAAATAGGTAGTTTTCCTTGCCCATCGTCTGTTCCTTCTAGATCAGAAGAGCTGTTTGCACTTCACAGATTTGTAACCCATACTCTGGAGTTTATCTGAGTGTGAGTGTGAACTCTTGATGTTAATTTTTCTGCTTTACTGTTTGCTAATTTCTTTATGACACATATTTAGTGTTGGTGGACATGCTTTTATGCTGCATTTTTAAGGCTTAATGATGTAGATCAATAATTACTTAAAATCTGTTAGACTTTTACAGATGATAACATCTATTTAATCTGCAGAGCAGTAACCTGAAGAACAGTAACATGATACAACTTAAAAAACAGTGAAATTTTATATTTGATATATATGGAAGTAATACAGTTACCCATTTCTTGTCATAAACATTTTGTATAATGTTTACTTATCTTGGCAGGGAACAGCTTTAGAAACAGGAGCCAGGATGTTAAGAATTACAAGGAAATTTTCAGTGAACACATTGAAGTCATCAAGTTTATGCAGTGAGGTAAACTTTTTTCCCAAATTTTGATGTTTAATCTGTGAGCAAACAAAATACTTAGGTTAGTCTGAGTAAACTGCAAACAGAATTTATAATTTCATGTTGGAATTAGGTGTGACAGAAGTCAGAGGGTAGAAGTTGAATTTGTAACTTTTCTGTAAACTTTTCTAGTTATCTGTGATTTTGACTACCTCACATTTGTCATTGTTAAGTTTATATTATTTACATAAATAATTAGACCTATTTAAAATATTGTGGCTACCAGCATGTTTTGATGCTATCATAGATTTTTACTAGACTTGCAAAATAATGTTGGGATTGGACTTGGTTTAAATCTCAGTGCTACTGCCTTCATGCTTCTGCTTCCAAATATCTGGTATTTTAAGCTTATCTAAGTAGCCAGCAAGAGTATCCAATCCTATAGATGTTTAGGGTTTTTTAGTTTATTTTTCTACAGGCAAATATGTAGCTACGAAGTAACATTTATAATGATAAATATTCTGTATGATTTTTTTCTCTCTTTTAAGCACACATATTTCAGGAACACAAAAATGGGAGTCATAAGTGTGGTACAGCAAAACTGCTGTCTAAGAAGCTACAGTTCTCCACCAGGTATAAGTTTAAATTATTTTCTTAATAGTAAGTGTTACTCAACAAATGAGTAAGAATACTTTCTGTATTGTGTTTTATTGAATTCTTCCGGTCATTATCTATAGAATTTGGTGTATGAAGCACAATGAAAGCAGTTAAAAGGTTTAAGGACGGAAGTGTTTTGTATTGCTACTCTTTTCTCAGATGTATGGTATAAAGCTTTTAGAAAATAATAATACAGAAAGATACAGATATATAAGAAGTCAGGTCAGTTTTGAAGTGTGCTGGAACTCCTGTCCAGTTGCCTGGAGTACTAATCAGTTATCAAGTAACTGATGATAACCAGCATCTTGGGCAAGGGGACAAAGACAGGAACCTGATTAAATGGAATTTTTACGTTATCATTAATGTATTTTCTTTTCAGGATAAAAGAAAGTAAAAAGAATAAGATACTTGGAAAACAAAAATTCAGTTAAAAGGGATTTTTTCTATTTTTTGAGTAACTACACTGAGAATGAATGGAAATGAATTGATAGAAGCTAGTGTTAGAGTAAGGGGCTTCTTTTTCCGCACTTTCTTTACTTCAAGGTGGAGATGGGAAGAAAATATTGGTTACTGGTGGGTAACCAGCTTATTTAAAAACAAAATGTTAATGAATTCAGCACTGTGTATCTTAGCAAAAGCTTTTAACCTACAGTCACAGACCTGAGAAGACTTACTCTTAATAGCTAATGTCAGCACAGTCTCAGTTGCCATGTATTACTGTTTCTCTGTAGTTGTTTCTGCAATGTCATTGCTGCCTACTGTACTTATGTTCTGTTTTGCTGTGCTGAGTATCTCAGTGTGTCACATGGAGGCAGAGCTTCATTCCATACACAAGAAGGTATCATGATTTAGGCAAGCAAGAAATGTGCAATGTACTAATGTGTTATTTTATGGGCTATTTTAGAAACTGGAGGGAAAAAGGAAGTGTTATTTGCAGGTTTTATTTAGGGCGGTGGTAGGTGTTGGTGAATTTCCAGCCTGATACCATGCTTCTCCTAAGATCAGTCTTTCTCCTCATCAAAGTGTTAACCTTTAAGATGCCTTGTTAATGTCTTTCTGGTAAGAGGGATGATCTATTGTATATGGTGAAGGAATGTTAGTTTAAATATTGTTGAGTTCAGTTTGATGTACTAAAGATAAAGTAGCAGGACACCTTTCTGAAACGCCACTTAAATGATTTAAGTCACTGAATTATGGATTAGTCTCATAAAAACATAGCCTGGCTGTGACGTTTCAAAGACGGACTCCAGTTCTGGTGAAATCTGAAGACCTTTATTTCGCATCTCGCATCCCTTTTATAGTCTACTAAGTGCTAAGCAGTAACTTTCCACTCTTTTACTCCCTTATCATCCCAATTTAGCAAAACTACTGTTTGGTCTGTCTTTGAGATGCACATCCTGCTTTATCTTGCAAACCACCTGCTTTGTTTTGCTAACTGATCTTTACTCTTGATTGTTCTCTTTACAGTTCCCAAGGTTTAGGCCAGACCAGGGCATTAACACCTGGTGTTTTCTTCACTGTTCCCTAGGCTTAATCTGGACCAGGGCGATAACGCCTGGATCCATTTTGTTAGCTATTTCTATCCCACCACCCACATCTGACAGCTGATTTTCCAACTAAATAGCGTGTGAGAAAGGAAATACATTTTAAGAAAACACTAATGTAAAACGCACTCCCATGTTTTCTTAGCGTAGGTCAGTTTGTGTTTTCTTCTGAAGGATTATGCTGTCTAGCTTCAGCGTTTGAAGGAGAAATGACTTTTGAAATTTGCTTATAGCTGGTTCAGATGAATGTCAGCATTACAGTTGTTGAACTGTGACAAGTTTTGTTATTGCTCCTGCAGAGTAAGATTTTGCTGTGCTGGTGGTACTGTTAGGTGTTGGCTTTTTCCTATTGTTTCTGAATTACAACTGTTTTGAAGAGTTTTGTTGTTTTGGTTTTTTTTTTTGTAAGAGCAAGAGAGCAATTTGTTGAAAATATGTATCTGTAGAAATTTGAATCTGAATCTTTGTTTTAGCAAGTTTTTAGGAGCTTTCTTAAATATATTTAATTTTGTTAGAATGATTTCTGCATTGAGATAAGTCTTAAAAATTGTTGTCTTATTTGTCTCTAGGAGATGTTAAGTCTCTGCGTTCTGTTATTAATCCTCATATATCCAGGTACGTCAAGCTAGCTTCTTTTTTGGGTATAACTGGCAGTCAGAGCAATTGATGTGATGAAAACTCATAGGTTGTTGCTATGCCTATCACCTGCATAGTTCAAGTGCATGTTCTACATCGAAGTTAGTATTTATTTACCTTACTCTTCTGACATTTCAACACGGAGTGGTTGTTGGTGTCAAAGGGGTCTTGGACTGCCTCTTTTTTACATTATCAGAACCAGAACTGGGCTCTTAGGGAAGCTCCAAATCCATGATGGGTGCAGGAAGCTGAACAAGGGGTAAGGGATGTTGGGGGATCTAGACAATGGCTGTGGGCAGGGAACTTTGTGTTC